AGTTATTTTTCATCCAGTGCAATAATTCAAGAGCTTAAAGGCATGTTATTTATCACAAATAACCAAAAATCTTAGCAGTTCATGTATGACATCATAGAAAGACATTCTTTAAAAGAAAACAGTATCAATTATCATGAAATCCCTGATTTATACTTGACTTTTTAAAGCATATTTCCTCAGCAGATAACTAAAATACAAATAAGCAGTGAAAAAAAACTAACCAATTTATTTTGCTATTTATAAGTAAAAGATTAGCTTTGACAAGGGGTGCTTGGCAGAATGGCTTTGGCAAACTGCAAATAATCAAAACAATAAAAGAAAAAAGTGAGGGTGGGGAGACAACAAACACACAAACAAAAACAATTATTTTTAACAGGCTCTTTCCAGTGTGCTTTTTCCTGATGACTACTGTATTTCATTTTCAATGGGCTATCTTCTTTCAAAGCAAAACCTTAAGACGGTAATTTTTCAATGAGCTTTTTCAAAGAAAAACCTTAATCTTCTAAATATTGTGATTTAAAAGATTTTTCTTCACACACAAAAAAGTAAATGCCATATAGATTTGACAACTATTTGTATATTTAATGCTAGGCAATACATTTACTTTCTCAAATCATTTTATATTATTTGGGGGAAAAAAAATTGGGGGATGCAAACCATTTAAAAACCTGAAAATTCAGCTTGCAGAATGTGCCCTTTGGTTGTTTAAATGATTATATATTCCGGAGTGTTTCTGTGTACATCCAAAAAAAAAAGGGAGGGACAGAAGGAAATACTGTTGAATGATGACTGTAATCATTGCAATGACAGGATGAGTGTAAAACTGATGTTCTCCCATGCAAACTATCATGCAATTCACAATAAAAACTTAAAAAAAAAAAAGATCTGCAAAATATCTTATGGAACACTTTAACATGGGGGAAAGTCAGAGGGGTGACTAAAAATGGTGGTTAATTGAAAATTTGACTTAAAAAAAATAAATAACTAAGCACTGTGAGAAGGCAGGAGATGTCTCTGGGTTAGACAGGCAGGTGGAGCTACAGTGTCAGTACTGGGCTGTGAACCAAAAGATTGGCAGTACAAACACAGCTCCTCTTCGGACCCCCTGTATTTGGTAGCTATGCATGGGAACCGACTTGATGGCACTTAACAACAACATATATTATTATTTGGGAGTGTGGTGGCTCTGTAGGATAAGCACTAGACTGTGAACCTCAAGTTTACTGGTTCGAGCCCACCAGCTGCTCCGTAGGAGAGATGAGGCTTTCTGCTCCCGTAAAGATTTTCAACCTTGGAAACCCTACACAGGGCTGCTAGGAGTCAGAAACAACTCGATGGCAGTTAACAACATATATGACACTGAGGAGTGTGGTGAATCTGCAGGACAAAAAATGACAGCTAACTGCAAGGTCGGCAGTTCAAACCCACCAAGCTCTCCTCAAAAAACTGTATACAGGATCATTATGCACCATGTTGTTAAGGGCTGTCAAGGCAGTTCCAACTCATAGCAAGACTGTATAGTTTCCAAGGAGCGACTGGTGAGTTTGATCCACCAACCTGGTGGTTCAAACCCACTTTGCAGTCCAGTGCTTTATCCCAGGGGGCCACACTAGGACTCCTAATAAGAACATATATGATATGACACAAAAAAGTTGAGCCATCTTTCAATTTTGCTGAAGTTTTGGTATCCTTAGAACAGATATTTGTTAAATACAAAACTGCATTAAATGCAAAAGCTCTAGGACCTCAATACTTTCCATTTTTTTCATCCTCAGGTTGGCCATTCAAACCTACCAGTAGCTCTTTAGAAACCCTGTACAGGATTGCTATGAGTTGGAACTGATCCGACAGCAAGTAACATAACACGGGAGTCCTGGTGTGGTGCTGTAGGTTAATGCGTCAGGCTGCAAAGCTGTTTGAACTGCAAGGTTAGCAGTTCAAGCTCACCAGCTGGTCCCGGAAACCCTATACAGGGTCGCTGTGTGTCAGAATCAACTCTATGGCACTTAACAACAACAACAATATAACACAATTAAAAAGTATTTTAAATAATGTTATCTTTTTGACATAGAAACATTACAAATTAATGAAAATAAAAGTATGCAAATGTTGGGGAGATGAAGTGAATAACAAATAAGGACTATGTTAGGAAGATAAAGGCAAATTGGTGGTTTAGTAATAAATCCGAATCTTACAACATAAACTTACCTCATCCCTCCCACCATTCCCCAGTAGTCAAAGAACCTCTGTATGTAATAAGATAATTGTCTTTCTCCACATCAAAACACATAAAACCAAAAAAGCCTTAAAAAAGAAGGGAGCTTAAGAAAAAAACACTAAAGAGGAAACCTATTCCTAGTTTTGATGATTCTCTGCTAATTACTATCTCCCAGCCTTGCTGTTTTAGAACAGGGGCGGGCAGCGTCCAGACCACATGTTGTTGTTAAGTGCCGCTGAGTTGTCGGTTCCGACCCATAGCGACCCTATATAGGGTTTCCAAGGAGCAGCTGGTGAGCTTGAAACTGCTGACCTTGCTGTTCAAATGGCTTTGCAGTCCGGTGCATTAACACATAAGGCTCTAGAAATCATTTGATCTGGCCTTGCCAAGGAGAGAGAAATTTCAGCCATCAAGGTTGTTGTTAGTGCCTTTTGAGGTGGTTCTGACTCATAGCGACCCTGTATACGGTTTCCAAAGAGTAGCTGATGGGTTTGAACTTGTGGTTTGCAGCCAAATGCTGACTTTGCGTTCAAACCGACCTTGCAGTCTAGTGCTTTAACCTCTTAGAACCACACCAGGTCTCTGATCATCACATTAGTGGGGAGTTAACTAAATGCTTAATTTTGTTGCAAAGAGTCTTGGTATGGTGCTGTGGCCTAATGCGTCAGACTGCAAAGTCATCTGAACTGCAAAGTCGGTGGTTCAAGCTCACCAGCTGCTCCTTGGAAACCCTATACAGGGTCATTATGGGTCAGAATCGACTCAATGGCACTTAACAACAATTTTGTTGTACAGTTGCAAATTATGTTATAAATTTTGGCAGAAAAAGCTTTTGAAGCTTAAAACCTAACTCCAAAATTTTTTATTGCTTTCCTTCAAAATACTCTTATCACATGAACATTAAAGACAAAAATGTTTATAAAATATAAACGTATTCCTATAACTTCTAAAAGTATGAACATGAAGTTCCAAGTTCGTATGCAATGCCTAGTACTTACTGATTTAATTGTTGATGAAGATAGGGAAATAGCATTTTGGCTCCACCTTCTAGCTCAAGTGCAATCAATTAAACAGATTCACGCAGATTATGCAGGTTCTAGAGATCACTCCCCAAAAGCATACTTTGGGAAGAGCCTATCAACTAAAATAGTAAAAAAATGTATTAGCTTGCTCAACGTTACACAAAAGCGCCTAGTATGTGGGAGTTAAAATCAGATTAAACAATCACACGCCAAATTTTCTAACGTTAAGGAATGTAATTTCATTTTTTCAAGACCTTAACCAAATAAACATCACTATGACATCTCAGTTAAAAAAAAAAAATACCCAAAAAACAGAAACACACACACACTAAAACACCCCACAAGTTTTTCGTGTATTATCACCACACTTGGAATTTTAAAGTGTTCATAAATTATTCAAATTAAAAATAAAACAAAACCAGCACCACCAACAAAAAAACAAATCCTCAAAAAGTTATTTGGAAGGCAAATATTAAACGAGCTGAAAGAAAGAATTAGAAGTTAACAGGAAAATATGAAATTCCCTAACTAAAGAAAAAATGGATTTCATGTTTTAATACGTTCCAATGTAATGGAACAATCTTTTCTAACTTTGGAATTTAAAAGCGACAGTTATTGCCTTCCACGAATTAAAATATAAATTAATAAAGCCCAACATCAAATGGTATTTTAATCTTTTAACACACTGGCTATTAGAAAGTAATGCTACAGAATTAAGCATTTTGTCATGTCCTAACTGTCATGCCTCCTACTGTCAGAAAGGAGACATACGGTAACTCAAGTTAGGAGAAAATAATCACATAAGATTCAGTCATTTTTAACACAATCGATGGAGTCCAAGTTTGCATTTCATAGTAGTATCACCCTCCTCTCCATATTTAAAGTAAACATTTTTAGTATAAAAATACGAGCTGTATCATTTACCTGCATAGGATGGCACTTGGCCACTGAACACTGTCAGTTTAGTGTGGAGTTGGGATATAAACGTTAAGTCCCTGGAGAGGGTCTCAGGAACAAAGTCCAATTTAAAATACAAAAATAATTTTTTAAAATGTCTTGAATTCCTCGGAACTCTACAAATGGGACAAATAATCACGTTGCAGACGCATTCTGCTGTTCTATGCTCAGATGGAAATCTCCCCGACAATCAGCTTACCTCCCTTCCTTTAAAATGACTTAGCAGAGACAGTTCAGCAACAACCCCGATGCACTGTGGACCGTGAACCCAAAAAGACTGTGTATGTGTGTGTGTGTCTGTGTGTGTGAAGGGAGACCCGCCCCCAGGTCCCTTAAATCCACCTCTTCTGAATCGTACACTCAATAAAGCCACGAAAGGTTTTTTAAAAAACTAAATAAAAGAACACCACGAGAAAGCAAATAAGGTATGCTTACTCTTCCCAAACCCCGGCCCAATTTTCTGTCGAAGCTCCCGGTCCACCCCCCCTCCCCCCCAGGGGTCTCGGCGCCATTTAGATCCTCCGAAGCCGCCATTTTCCGCCCCCGTCGGCTGCAGCTGGCTTCCTTGCTCGGGAGCCCGAGCCGCCACTGCAACAGGCCCGGCCCCAGGAGAAAGGCTCTGGCCCGATCGTGCGGGGACAGTAGCTTCAGCGTCATGAAGGCCCGCTCCGACCCCGCCCGCCTGGGCGCGGGTAGCTGGCGCCTGCCAGCGGGAGCAAGCGGGCAGCGAGGGGGCCGGGCAGGCTCTACTGGGCGGAGCGGCCTCGGCGGCAGTTGGGACCTGAAGGTTCCATTGCACTTACTTCCTGTTTTGGGTCCGGGCACTTTGGAAGAACCAGGATGGAGGCTCCAAAAAATACCAGGATGGAGGAAGCAGCCACGGGCGAGAGTGGCTGCAGCTGGAGTGAGCGAGCGCGACGAGCCACCGGAAACGGAGCCGCAATCGCACCCCGCCCCCAGCCCCTGCACGTTCCCCCTCCTTCTCTCGTGGGGTGGCCTAGCGCGCTGGCTCTGGCGTCACTTCCGTCCGTATCGGCGCGCGAAAGAATACCCAGGGTTTTTGGCATTTTAATTCGGCGTTTCGAAGTGTATTTTTCGGTATTTATTTATTTACGTATTTGTACGCCCTTAATTAAAGAGTCCTGGCACACACGATCCCGTTTCTGATGCTTTATAGGAAGATCTTTTTACGTGGCGCAACTACAGTATCCAGGAACAACTGGATTCCGCGGGCGACTTTCAAGATTCCTCCTAGCCCGGAGCAGAGTACTAGCGGTGTGGAAGGGTGAACTGAGTGAAGAAAAGAGGGATGTGTAGAGGTCTGCGCTTCACGCTTGGTCGGCTAAAGACGTTTTAAATGACGTGCCACCTGTTTGGGTAGGGAATACAATTCTTGATGATGGAATGTCTTCTCTTTGTACGTGATCGGCCATTGCACTGGAAAGATGTTCCTCTCGAGCAATTCATCTTAAAACACTGGTGTTCAACAGTGACTGCTCTTCAGTTAACTGGGAGCTTTGAGAAAAGACCTGCCCTGTCCCCAAACCAACCTTACAGAAAATTTGTGATGTAATTGTTTTTAATTAAAAAATTTCCAAGGACTTGAAAATCTAGAAATGGAGTGATCTGGACCCTGTTACAACTCGTTTGATGATTCCAACCTCGTTTTACTTGTTTACAAAACGAATGTCATTATTTTTGTCTTGCTTTTCCTTTCTCTACTAGGGCAGTAAGAATTTTAAAAGATAAACTTGATGAATTTTAAAAGTTAAACTTCATCCAATGCCTGTGTTTTCACACTGGGAATTAATCATCATCAATTGTAAGAACTTTAGTGAGAGCTATCGTGAATATGTGCAACTTAAGTTTGTGGCGCTGTGGCATAAAGCACTGCACCACAAGGTTTGAACTGCAGTGGGGATTCAAACTCAACAGAACTTCCTTGGAAACTCTATTGGGTGGGGTGGGGGTGGGGGGAGGTCACTATGAGTCGGAACCCCATGACATTTAACAACAGTCACTATTTAGTGTTATTTTATCTTTTCCTGTATAATTTCAGCAGTTTCGACTGTTCTATACAATCGTGGATTCCTCTGAATAAAATGTACAGTTGAAACATTAAGTGCCAGTGGCTGTAATGTATCGAAGAAACATTTGGGGGGGGGGGATAAGCAAACTACACATGGAAGTGCGTTTAGAAAAATGTATATTTGTTTCGGTTTTAAAGCAAATATAGTTTTTATTCATTTTGCTTTCCCCTTAATTTTTGTGATCTACAACATACGTGGAAAAAGTTGCCCCAGATAATAACACAATATGGACTATTGTTTTGTTTTTTAAAAAACTATATTTGCTTTAAAACCTAAACAAATGCACATTTTTCTAAATTCACTTATATATACTCTGCTCTAAACTCCCTAAAAATGTTAAATTAATAATCAGACCACCTGTTTCTGAGTGAGTTTATTTTCTAACTACCTATACCCAAAGTCAGTTGACACTTGGAGAAGACAAAGATATATTTTCTTAATAGCTTAATATATAATTTTAGAAAGTAAATCTATTACTTTCTCAATTAATAACACCTCAATGTTTTAAATCAGGGATGGGGAATCTTTTTTCTGCCAAAATTTTAACATCATTCATGGGTTATACAAAATTTTCAATTTAAAAATTAGCCTGCTATATATGTGGTCAAACATTTAATTAACTCAAACCCTATACAGGGTCACTATGAGTTGGAACTGACTTGACAGTACTTCACAACAATGTGATGCCTGGAAGTGTGGTTAGTTACCTTGGCAGGACCAGACCAAATGATCACTGAGAACTCTTGGTGTGTGGTGCTGTAGGATCAACACTGGACTGGGAACCACAAGGTTGGCAGTTCAAACCCACCAGCAGCTCCTCAGAAACCCTATACAGGGAATAGACTCGATGGGACTTAACGACAATAACATATGGCCTGTGGGCCAAAATCACCCACCCCTGCTTTAAATAATCAGTGTGCAGATTATCTGTAACACAATTTGAATCCAGAGCAGCTTTCTGCACTTACCGCTTCTAGGTTATCCCGTCTTCACTGCTTAGTCCATGTGTATACAAAAATAGTGTAACTTAAAAATTATTTTCCTAGGATTTCTTTAATTAGGAATTAAATGTTTTGTCTAAAAAGAGTGATAATTTATACCACGGTTACAGTATTCACTGAGTTGATCTAGTTATTAATTCCAAATCTTTTATGACACTTTCATGTATCTCCTCAATGGGTGACTATTGATGATGATGTCCTTCTTTTATGAAAAGTTGAAATAGTAATTAAGTATTTCAAAGACCAAGAAGTAAGTTTTGTTATTTCATCATATGGTGTCCTGGATGCTAATATTGTACCTCTCCCCATGAGTAGTCTTTGTTTCTACCCAATCTTGAGTCCTGGTAATAGAGATAGTGAGGCTTCCTATGCTAAAAGAATGAATAAACTAAGCCTAGTTAGACCCACAAGGAGCTCTGGTAGCGAAGTAGTTCCTATTCGGGTTGCTAATCTCAAGCTTAGCAGTTTGAAACTACAAGCCTCTCCGTTGGAGAAAGATGAAGCTTTCTGCTCCTGTAAAGATTTGCAGCCTCAGGAACCCTGTACAGGGTTGCTATGAGTCAGAATCAACTCCATGGCACACAACCACCACCACAACCAGTTAGACCCACACACCAGGCTCTTTTTGGCTGCCTTCTACCTCAGACTTCTCTACATTTTCTTCTGACATTTATGGCACACCATATTGTAATCTTTTCCCTGCCTTTCATCTTGTGCCAGTGCCTCATCTCCACAATCCTTTTTCAGTCCTTCAATGGATCCCTGGTCATTACCTCTCCATAACTCTCTTTATGTTTTATTCTTTTGCAATGGATGTTTATTATGGCCTATTAAATATTAGCAAAAATTAGTTCTCCTTTCCGGCTACAGGTATGGGTAGTTGGGTTTTAGATATTGCCAGGAATAAGGATAAAAGTTTTCCTTTGACCTTTGAAGTTTTGGGGTACAAATCAAAATAGATGTTATTTAAACTGGGAGAATACCTGCACCCAAACTCGAAGCCCTAATCCTTTCACTTTTAAAACTTATAGTGTGATATGGGAAGGAAAGGAACAATGCATACATCATTAAATCAATCAATCATTAAAAAATTTTATAAATTCTAAGAAGGATACAAAAATTACTTTCTAAAAGTAAAGCTTTGCATGTGAAAGTTGGGCAGTGAATAAGGAAGATCATAAAAGAATCAATATATTTGAGTTGCGGTGTTGGAGAAGAATCTTAAAAGTACCATGAACTGCCAGAAGACCAAATAATCTGTATTGGAAGAAGTATAGGTAGAATGCTCCTTGGAAGCCAGGATGGCAAGACTTCGTCTCTCATATGTTGGACGTGTTATCAGTCCCTGGAGAAGGACATCATGCTTGGTAAAGTGGAGAGTCAGCGAAAAAGTGTAAGACTCCAACAAGATGAATTCACACAGTGGCACTAGCAATGAGCTCAAACAACAAAAATTGTGAGGATGGCACAGACCTTGGCAGTGTTTCGTTCTATCATGCGTACAGTTGCTATGAGTTGGAACGGAGTAGGTGGCACCTAACAACAACAGCAACAAAACATAAACTTTACATTAAGAGTTCAGAGGAGACCTTTCTATGAAGGGGTAACAAAATATCACCATAGTAGGGGGTGAGAAGGCATTTATCCAGCTAGAGCTAGAAAGAATGTATTTGTAGAGAGCAGTTACCCTGTATGTTTATAAAGAGGTGACACCACACCACTGGCCAGTGAGTGATAGACTAGATCTGTTTTGGAAGAAGTACGCCAGAGTGCTCCTTGGAGGCCAAGATGGCTAAACTTTGTCTCTCATACTTTGGACATATTGTCAGGAGGGAACAGTCGCTGGAGAAGGATGTTATGCTTGGTTAGGTGGAGGGTCAAAGAAAAAGAGGAAGACCCCCAACGAGATAGGTTGGCCAGGTAGCAGCACTGATGGACTCAGTGTGGCAGCGGTAGTGAGGTTGGCTCAGGATCGGACATTGTTTCGTTCTGCTGTGCATGGGGTCACTATGAGTCGGTTCTGACTCAATGGCACCTGACAACAACAACAAGATGTTAAGTTTATTTCTGTCACTGATCAACATTGCACCCAGAGAGAGTAGGTATCTGCCATCTATTATCTCTGCAATATTTTAAAACCTCAGTTTTCCAACACGAGGCACAGTACTTTGACTTTGTAGACACTTAAATGTTTGTTAAGTGTCTTAATCCAGAAGATCAGGCAGGGAAATAGCCATTTCTATGCTTTGGTAATAGTCATTGACCACAAAAGAAATTAGAGTATTTTCTTCAGGTAGGTCATTACTGGGGCAATTCTGGAACTACAGTCAACACTGAGCAATCAATTATTATTACCTTTGCTTGAGTAATAATGAAATGTTTTAGTGTTGCTATAAACATTTTTTTTTTCTTGTTTGAATCAAGGAATTTTTAGAATTTCTTCTATTACTTAGGAATTTAAAAACAAGGTGTTATTTAATTTCCATGTACTTGATTTCCCACCCCACCCCCCTTGATCTTCCTATTATTGGCTTCTAATATAAGAGAATACTTTGTAGTGTTTATATGTTTTTTTGAAAATATATTAAGGCTTGCTTTGTGCCCTAACGTGGTCTATTCTGGAGAATATTCTAGAAAAACTAGGAAGTAGGAGAGGCAAACTATTTCTGAATGTTTAGCCACTGAAAACTATCAATAGCTGTGGAACATTGTAAGATACAGTAAGGGAAAATGAAAACATGCATAACAGCAGATTATTGAGAGACATAGTACTGGAAGATGAATCCCTCAGGTTGTAAGGCACTCAAAATGTGACTGAGGAAGTTACCTTGACCATGATGAC